TAAGAAAGTAATACGAGTTCACTTTTTTTACTCATATAAATATTTAATTTATTTACATGAACTTCTAATTCATTTGTACAAACCCTAAATATTTCAAACATAAAGTATTATATAGCAAGTCCTCTAATTTATCCTCACAAACTATAAATAAATATAAATATAATAAGTAATATTTATATTTCATCTACTTCACCCAGTACAATTATCTATTTCATCCAATATGATCCTCTACTTCACTTATACAAGTTTATCTTTTTTATCTGCCAAGTATTACTTTTTTACTATGCATTGTGTAGCTTCTCTGTGAGTAAAAAGATATATAAAAGATACCTTTTTCTCTTTCTGCTAAATCTTAAATTTCTATACTTCAATTAGACTTTAACCTTTCTTATCTTATAAAGTGTAATATTTCTCTTCTAGAGTAATTCCTATAGGCAAGACTTATTACTATTCTTGTATTAAATAAAGTTATTCTATATATAGTTACTATCTCGAACCATTTGCCTATTGCTGTGTAGTTAAGTAAACAACTACATCTCCATCCTATATATATTTGCAATAGTCAATTACTATATTAGATGACCTTATTACTTGATTGTATTTTACTAAAAAAAATTATAGCTTTGTAATACTATATATATTTTTTGTTATTTATTTTGGATTTATACATATTTATTTGTTTACTTTATTTTTGTATTTGTATTATTGTAAATGATCTGCATTTAGAATCAATTGGTATATTTACTTTTTATCAAAAAATTTTTTTAAAAATTTCATTTTTTTTGGTTATCTTGTTTGTTGTAAGTTTGATCTTGTTTGTTTCTAAGCTAAATAATTATTATTTTTGTTACTTTTTCTGTTTTCTTAGAACCTTGTTGAATATTTTTTATAATCTTTGTTAAATTTTAAATACTTTTGTTTCTTGCTTCTTTTATATACAAGTGATCAATAAGAAGAGTATATGATTATATAAACATTCTAAAAAAATATTGTAAAATGGTATAGTATAAAAAATTTTTTATTAATTGTATAAGAGAGCAGGCAGAATTTAGCTAATTTTAGAAGAGAGGAGAAGATTTCTTGTTTAATCAGGTTATAATAAATTTGATTGATTAATTTTTGATTAATTTTTAATCAGGTAGAAGAGAGAGAATATGATCTCTTAGTAAATTAAAATCACCTGATTTCTGTTCATGCCCAATCAATCTACAAATAATAAAATAATTCTTTTTGTTGGTTTGTAATACAACTGTAATCTAAACTACAAATCAAATTTTAAGATCAGATGTAATATAATATAATCAAAAAAATTCAAATCAAATCTTGATATAATCACCAGGTTGGAAAACAAATATTTGATGATTATAAAGAAGTGTAACTATATAAAAATCAAATTTTATATATTTTATAATGTTTAGGATTAAGAAATAGTGTGACTATAACAAGGTTGTGACTATATCAAGAATGACTATAACGAGGTCTGACTGTATTTGTTTTGTCAAAAATTGCTTATTTCTTGAAAATCTACATAAAAAACCAACTTTAATGCTCTAACAATAAATAATTTTACTATATAATCATTTAATATCTAACCTTATTATAAACACTAACCCTAATATTAATAAACTTTAAAATCATTTGATTTCACGTTAATAAAAACAAAACAAATAGTAACTAGTTAGGGTTTGGTTAGAATAATAGCTAAAAACCTTTTTTAATTCAAAATTTCGCAAGAAATTTTTTTGTTAGAAAAAAAATCACGTTACACCTGATCCTGCATCCTGATTGGTCGATCAGGGTAGCGATGAATGATAACTCTCATTATAAAAAAGCAAAAAATATACGAATTTCAAAATTATATTATCTTCCCACAGGCTATAAGTAAAAGCCTCAGAGTGGGCTACCGGGAATTGTTTATAATCATTTTAGTTGAGGCTGTGTTTTGTAGCTTTCGACGCATTTCTCTCTTTTTTTTTTTTTTAAACTAAGTCATCTAACTGATTTGCTAGGGTAAACTGGTGAAACTAGTGAGATTTAATATAACAGCCAATCAGATTTTAGATAATCACCAGTTTCATCAGCATTATTTAGTTTCACCAGCATCTATAGTAACACCTTAAATCCAATAATGGTTTATTATCTTTTAGAGTAATAAGTATATGTATATTAATGAAAATATTGTTTCTAAATTTACAATGTCCATAAAATTCGATCTTTATGTCAATGCAGAAAACCGAATAAAACCTTGGGCAAGTTTTTCTAATGGTATTCTATCTAGAGCCTGAAGCTCCTGTCTAACATACTTGACCAGGCATGCCATATTATGTGCTGATCCTTCTGTAACCAATACGTTCCTATTTATAAATAAGAAAACTGATCAGAAATAAATAAAGAAAATTAATAAAAAGTATGTTATCCTATCGCTACCTCCACAAAGCTGTTGCTAATACTGGATCGTCCTTACAAAGTCCTTCATCATATGCCATAACGGCACCGTGAAATTGAGAAAGATAATCTTTCATGTAATGTGAAATTAGACTACCCGATGTGATCTGCAAATTGTAGTATGAAATTAACGTCTACAAGAATCGTTACAGAGAATAAATATGCGCCAACATACACCATGTATCTCTCGCATTCGCCATTCTGCATCATCAAATAAATGATTCACTAATTGTTGCATATATACTTTTCCATCATTTTCAGGTCTAAATCTGACCATCAACATCCAAACATGTAACAGAGTTATTTGAAACCATGTTTGAAAGCTATCTGGTAATCCGCAAGCTTATCAACAATAAAGTTCACAAGCTGTTATCAATAGAGTTTCTAGCAAGCACGATTTGAAGAGAGTCCACTTACTATCAATGAAAAACTCTCTATTCTCATCTAATCGTAATGCACACATTTGATACATTTCCCTTGTTACGCGAATAGCTTGTACAGGCAAATCATAATACCCTAATAGTTTTCCGAGACGAACTAATATTTTTGTAACAAATGGTGAATATGTCCTTCTCTTTGACTCTTTTGGTGTTTGAAACGTGTCCAAATAATAAGGCTCTACCTCTTTGTATATTCTTTGGTGACTACTTCCTGTTGCCCTAATCGGCTTTTTTGATTTTTCTCTGATCCATTTATAGTTATTGGGCGAACCTTTTTCTGCGTAGTGACGAAAGACGAGACCTAAAAGCGGCGAAAAACGAAAAACTAAACCCTGTCGAAATCCCAAATTCCTCTGACGAAAGACGAAGCTTAAAATCGGAAATAACGAAGGGCGAAACCTGGAAAAACCTTCATGAAAGGTAAAATCAGAAGAGATTTAAAAATCAAAAATTGAGCTATAAGTAGTAAGCCATTTCCAATATATTAAAATGAGTCCTTACCATTCATAGATTTCTTCACTATTTATATTGTTATAGCTTTATCACCTTTTTTCAATATTATTGACTTAAACGCTTGATTATTTCGGAAAGTCTAACAATTTTCCAGGGACAAATTATGGGTTCAAAATTTTGAATCGAACTTCGCCTCTATCTAAAAAGTGTTAAATGACATTTAGAGTGGACGGGGAAAATGATGTGAATCATATGTGCACATATGTGCATATGTGTCATGTTTTTCGTGAGCACATATGTGCCGCAGTATATAATGTAAAGAATATCTTTATGATTGAAACTAATTTCAAATAATTTCGATTTACATTGTATGATAAAATTAAAATTTTATGCTTAAATTCTTTACCAAAAAAAGGCATTAATGTTTATACTCAATCAAAACTATCTAAAATTAGTTTTACTCTTAGTACTAAAAATTTAAAATTATCTAAAATAGTTTTGCTATTAGTATTAGAGAAATCAACAATGTAATTTCAAATGATAAGCCTATTACTAAAAGGGTATAAAGATCGGCTAGATGATTAGGGGAGTGGTCTAATGATTTACCTGACATATGTACCGATTTTTGGAATTTGTATTAGAATTAGTTTTTTTAAAAAACTTTAAGATTAAATAACTTTTAATATACTGTAGATGTTTTTTTCAAATAATTTTATTGCCATTGTATTTGTCTCTTTAAAATGTTTCTAATGAATTCAAAATTATTCAAATCTAATTACAGGATTACGAGATATTGTGCTGTCAAATAGTAACATACCCCATAGGTAGATAGAATTAGTTAAACTTAGTCTAATTAATTCTTTTTACCTATAAGATATATCACTATTTGATAACACAATATTTCATGATTCTGTAATTAGATTTGAATGATTTTGGGTTTATTAGAATTATTTTAAAGAGACAAATACAATAACAATAAAATTATTCAAAAAAAATATCTATATTAAGAGTTATTTAATCTTAACGTTTTTTAAAAAAACTAGTTCTAATACAAATTCTAAAAATTAGTATATATGAGTAAAAACTTATATATAGACAGAACCTAGATATAATGATGAAAAAATCCTAGAAAAGTGCTATTTATCATTTAATTTTAGAGTAAAGAAGAGATTAGAAGATTATTAGGTTTTAATATAATAATATTTTTAATTGGTTAAAGTTATTAAAATTTTAAAAATTAGATATAGTCTTATTTTTAAAAATTAATAAAAAAAAATAGGCAATCTACAAGATACCTAAATAAAATTTTTTTTTTATATATAAATTTTATTATAAGCTTGAAAGTACAATATTCCTATCTAAAACTTTTTTTTACTAAGTAAATCATTTTTAAACTTCTAACAAAAGTTGTAGAGCTTATCAAAATGTATCTAATGGTAGTAAAAATATTAAAATTAGCTTAGTAGTTCTTGAAAAATCTTTAAAAAATTTCTTTTTCATATAAGAGAGATATATCTATTTTAATACAGCTAATATTTTTGATAAATATCATATGATATATTGACTAGAATCAAATAATTTTAGTATAATTCAATTTATCTCATCGAGATGAATTAAATAGTACCAAAATCATCAAATTCTAATCACTAAATTATGAGATATCACTTATTAAAGGTTGTTTAAAAAATATGTTTCTAATTTAATTGGTGATTCGCCAGTC